TTTTTCAAATAGTGGGAAAATCAGATTTCTATACAAAATAAGATTTTTTAAATTCTATAATAAAAAAAATTACTATTTGATTCTTGTATTTTATCAAAGTACATGGCTTCGCCCTTGCATTTTCGGAAATATATAGTTTTGTCTCTAATGTTTTACCTTCATTACATTGTTATACCTATGGATGATAGTTTTACTCAATCCCAGAATACCCAATTCGATTTTGGCGGATTCGAATAGTGACTAAACGAGTTTAAAACGAGTTCGAATGTATTTTTATTATCTGTATTGGATTTGGATTCAAGCACCAGGTATCCGCTATCCATCACCCATTTATTAATATTTCAAAAATATTTAAAATTAATTTTTTTGAAAAGACAATTGTGTATGTCTTTTTAATTATAATTAATGCTATACATATATTTAATATTTATATATATTATTTATTAAGTCAAAATAATAATTTTATAATTTTTACTTACTCTTTACTCGTGAAAATAAAATTAAAAAAATATTTTTAATGCTAAACAGATTTTTAAACCAGTTCAAATATTTAAATAGATAATTATAATCGTGTTTGGGATGAGTCCGAGTACTAAAGTTGAATTTCTAAACGGATTCAGGTCCCTAATTTATAATCAGGTTTAGATTTGGATAGTGCATTTTAAGCGGGTTCTGACCCATTGCATCCCTAGTTACACCATTCCGTTAATTTTTTTTTATACTTTTTACCGTTAAGTACAAGGACAAATTAGTTAATTTTGGCAAAATATAACAAAAAATAGTAAATAAATACATGGATAGATTAGTTAATTTTGAAAATATAGGAACAAAATAATAATTTATTCACAAAAAAAAGTATAAAAATTTGACATAGAGATGGAAAAACTTGTCTAGACTCGATCTATGCTCTTACTTCTGAACCAAAAAATGAAATTAAAGATTTTTTAAAAAGTTTTCCGACTTTATCCCTTTTTTTCTTAGTGTAGAGTCAGAAATATCCTCATTTCAATAAGAATACTGAATTTCATTGGTTTAGTCCATAGGTCGGGATATGGATCAAGTCTAGGTAAGTTTTTCCTATTGTAATATAAGAAAAAAAAAACATGGGGACAAAACTATGTATGTCTGAAGATATAAGGGGCAACGTTATATATTATGGTAAAATACAGGGATAAAATCATAATTTTTCCTAGAATTCATTAAGTTTTGAAATTATGTGTATGACTAAGACAATTAAGCATAATGATATCAGAAAAAGCAACCTTCAGTCAGGGATAAGTAGAAATTAGTTAATCTAAGGCTTAATACATAAGCTCACCCCTATACTTTATGTAAAAAATCTTGTGACACCCTAAACTTTTATATGATCTATTAAATGCTTCAATTTATAAAATTTTACCTATTATATACTTCATCTTGGAAACGTTATTCCGTTAAATATTCAACTTATAAAATTAGATCGATTAAACCAACTGATTTAGATAAATTTAATTGGGTTTTAAAAATATTTATTTCAGTTTTAGATTTAATTAAAAATAGGATAGAAAAATTTTCTATTCGATTCAATTTTCAATAAAGTTGGAAACAAAAGTAATTTTATTCAATTTGCTTTAGTTATATAAAGCAATTAGTATGGTTTGGTTAATTTTGACTGAATCGACAATTTACAAACCACTAACTCATCCCATGAGTTGTATAATTGGATCACATTGGGATGCAAGTTTTGTTTCCAATGCAACTCCTGGCATAGATAACGATGAACACAATCACTGGCGGGATATCATAGTAAGAGAGAGACAATAAGGTTCATCCAATAGTAGAAAAGTTTGTTTCAAGATCTAATATTCTGATGGGATTGCTTGAGTTTTAATTGGCAAAATTGAAAAGAAAGAAATAGGTAAGGACCAAAAGGTCCCTTATTTCTAGATTAATTTTATTCGCATGAAGTGCTAAAAACAACATTATTAGAATTTGGAAATGGGTGGATAGGTTTTCAACAACTCAACTAAGTAGATTTATATTTTTGTATTTCTATATTATAAGTCAAAGTTCATATCCTAATGATTCCAAAATTAATTTTAGATTAAATTGGATATCTAGTGAAAACTTGAGGACTATATTGCAGGGGTGTACAAAACTATCGAACCGAAAACCGAATCGATACATTTCAATTCGATCAGCTATTTAAAAGAGGCTCGATTTATCGGTTCATTCGGTTTGAACTAAATTTATATTCGATTTGAGTTGATCTCGCAGAAATTCATCGCCTGGATTTAAACTACACCGACATGGTAAAAATCGACAAAACTGACTGGTTCGGTTTGAATCGATTTAGTCTGTTGTCAGAAAAATTCAGTTTATATTATTTATCTTAACCGAACCGAACCAACGGTTTGCACCCGTACTATATTTTGTATTTTATCCTTTGTACTATAATCAAATAGTATCACAAACGAGCTATTATGCACTTAATGATTTCTTTAACCTTGATAAGATAGTAGTGTTGAGATAGTTTCCATTACTAGAATAAGGCTTTGTAAGTGGACAACTAAAAATTATTTTTAAACGTGTTATATCACTTTGGTATGCGCACACAGTATCCTCATTTAATGCTTTAAGAGTTTAGGGCTAATTTTCATCAGCCGTACTTCAAATGAGTACTAATATACCTTGTTGTTACTAAACTATGCTTTGCAACATAAAAATTGCCCAACGTCAATCTATATAATGCTAAAATTATCATATTTTTTAAAAAATCTCATGATCTACTAGAATGATATACAGTATTCTTAAATTTTTCACTTTTTGAATTTTTATAAGAATTAAAAGATGATTGATTTACCACAATTATATTTAAAAAAAAGTATAAATTAAACTTTTATTATTTAAGAGTAAAGAGATAGTTTCAGTATCAGATATAAATATTTCAATTAAAATTCTATTTAAACTTTATTATTATATTAATTTTTTTATTTTAGTTATGAATATCGAAGAATCTATGTTATTTTATATATAAAATTTTATTTTTAAATATAATTTGAGTTAAATATGTTAAAACTTAAAAATAATCATAAGCAAGTTAAGTGGGTCGTATATAGGTGGACAAGACCCACTTACCATGCTTATGATATTAAGCGGATTGCACGGATCGTATACGGGGTCAATATGACTCATTTAATCTGCTTATAATATTAGATGGGTTATACATATTGTCAAATTTCACATGATTATTAAATTGATTATGTTCGTATTGACCATTATCGTATCACGTGTTAGGTGAATTCGTGTCGAACTCGATATGCCAATCTGTTTTGACACCCCTAAATTTCATAGACAAATAAGTTGAAGAGTTCTCGAATATAATATAATTACTGAAGATAGAAATATATTTTCATATCTAATGTGTCATATTTGTTATTTTTTGGTAAAATTAAATCGGTGTTAGATATCTTTTACATCAAGTTTAGAAATAATAAAATGAATTAATGTTAACTCAAAACATTCAAAAACTGTTGTGGAATAAGGCCATAGTATAAAATTTAATAAGCACAAATCATTTAGTATATGATAGGAAAAAAAAATTCTAAAAGGCAGTTGATTAAGTATTTTATTTAAACCTGATTATTGGGTGCAAATCAATTACCAGATGCATGCATGATAATTAGTGAATCAAAAACTACGAAAAAAGAAACCTACGAGCTGTGACTCAGTTGACAATATAGGTTGTGACTAAATCTCATTAAATCTCGGGTTCAATCTCATTATATGCATTTGTGGGGAAGGGCGAAAAGTCTTAACTGTGATTAAATCCCTAGCTGAATTAGACGGTTCTAGTAATAGGGCTCGGATACCAGTGGTTTGCAAAAAAAAAAAAAAAAAAAAAAAAAAAAACTTACGAAAAAAGAAACCTAAACGAGCTGTGAACTCAAGTTGGACAATATAGGTTGTGAATAAAATCCTCATTAAATCTCGGTTTTTCCAAATCTCATTATAATGTATTTGTGGGGAAGGGCGCAAAGTCTTACTGTGATTAAATCCCTAGCTGAATTAGACGGTTCTAGTAATTAGGGCTCCGGATAACCAGTGGTTTGCAAAAAAAAAAAAAAAAAAAAAAAAATACTTACGAAGAAAGAATAGAAAATTTCACACCTAGAAAGATAGCGTAATATGTTTTTCTCAAAAAAAAAAAAAAAAAAAAAAAAAAATACTACGAAGAAGAATAGAAAATTTCACAATAAGAAAGATAGCGTATATGTTTTTTCTCTTTTGATTTGAGAAAATAAAATTCAAATTTTATTATTCATCTAAATTAAGATAAGCATTTCTCGTTAAGATAACTTACATAATGCCTTATCAACGAATAACTCTTATGATAAATAAACCTAGTACCAGGAAGAGAAATAAAACAAATAACTCTAGGACAGTCATACATTCCCAAAGCAACACATAAATAATATTTTAATTTGCTTGGAACTTCAACACCAACAATCTAATAATAAGAAAGAAAGTTGAATTCAGATTAGAAGGAAATTACCTAAAATTTTCAACCTTAGAATCCTTCATTGAGAAGGGGAAAAACAGTTAGCATGACCAATTCAATATATATGTATAAAGAAGCATCAAGAAAGACCAGCTGACCGCAAATTGATATTTGAAACTCTAATTACTAATAATTAGACCAAAAATCAAAATCACAGCTAGATAAAGCTTGAATTGGAAAATTCTCCATATGCATGTAAATTTCCAAGTAAAAGTCCAAAATCAATAGAAAATAAAAACAAAAAAAAAGAAAAAGAAAAAAGGAGGTCACGTAAAGATTCCAAAAGACCTGTCAATGTCCATATGAGAAGTTAGTCTCTTGTGACTTTATGATAAACCGCGTGGGTTCCACCCATTCGATCGAGAGATATCTGAGCAGCGATTCTTTTCCAGGCCCCACCACAATTTTTAAGGGTGGTGACCAAGTCTTCCCTTCTGTTTTCTTCTTACATATCGTCAAGAAATCGAAGACACATATTATCCTCCTTAATTATAAATATCATTCTAAGAGTGTATGCAACTGCAAGGGCAATATTTTTATTTTCTTCATCAAAACATAAAATATCATAGCATTAACTTTCACACACACTAACTAGCTAGTTAGTGTATCCAAATATATATGGAGGAAATGGCATCAGAAATGGATCTTCCCGGATTTCGATTCCATCCCACTGAAGAAGAATTGCTCGATTTCTACCTCAAGAACATGATTTTTGGGAAAAAATTATGTTTCGACGTAATTGGATATCTCAACATTTATCATCATGATCCTTGGGAATTACCAGGTATAGCTGATCTCATTGAATTATACAATGAGATCAGAATTCATTTACTTCTGTGCCTAAAAATTCAATCTATTATCAAATTTCTGAAAGTTATTCCAATATAAATGAATCAGAATTCATTATTTATCTTATGTTTTATGTATAGGGTTGGCTAGGAATGGAGAGAGAGAATGGTACTTTTTTGTGCCAAGAGACAGGAGACATGGTAGCGGAGGAAGGCCTAACAGGACTACAGTAAACGGGTTTTGGAAAGCTACTGGTTCTGACCGGAAAATTGTGAGCTTATCGGACCCGAAAAGGATTATCGGTTTGAGAAAGACTCTTGTTTTCTATAAGGGAAGAGCACCAAGAGGCTCCAAGACTGATTGGGTCATGAATGAATATCGCCTGCCTGATTCTTGCCCTTCACCCAAGGTACTATATATTTATAATATATGGGCAATGTGTATATATTTATGCATGGAAATTATTAATAGCTATTTTAAAAAATATATATATTATTAACTGCAAGAAGATTTATAACTTAATAACCATAATTGAAACCATCAATTATTAACCTATAAATATTCAGACTAGATGTTAATGAGATGGTGCTCTGATTAGTCTTTTCACTTATGTGAAGAGTGAGTGGTCTCAAGTTCTAGTCTTTTCAATTACAGTTGATTTCACCAATTTAGTGAGCCAAGGGGAGGGCTACTCTCTATTGTATAGCCTATAATATTATTTCGGCTTATAAAAATCTATAATGAATTAAAAAAAAAAATTCAGTATAGATACATATTTATTTTTCACAAAAGAAAATTGTAGCTGAGGCGACGACTTTGGTTATGGAGTCAACTTTTGTCATATTTGGGAAACTGCCACGTAAAGAGTATTAATTAATTAGTATCTTTAATATTTTAATGCAGGACATAGTGCTTTGTAAAATATATAGAAAGGCAACTTCCTTGAAAGTGCTAGAGCAAAGGGCAGCAATGGAGGAAGAGATAAAAACAACGATCAATACATCTTCATCATCTTCATCACCATTATCCTCATTGGACATGGACACTATGTCCTTCTATAGTCAACAAGAAGATCCAATCTCTATGCAGCTTCTGGTTTTCAAGAAAGAAGAAGGAGAACATGTGGTTATGGTTGAAGATAGAAAAATTAGTGATAATGATAATTATAATAATGACAAAAACAATAGAGATGAAAAGCCTAATAAGGAGATAAAAGGGTCTTCTTCTTCTTCTTCTTCTCTACAATTACCAATGGGCAAGGACAAGCTACCAGAGCTGGAAGTGCCAAAATTAGGCATTGACTGGAGCCAAGACAACTTTTTGTTCAATAGTCCTTGGTTGCAAAGTCTAGCCCAAAATCTGACCCCTTATGCCAACATTTTGAATTTTTAGATCTAATTTATAATTATGTCTAAGTAATAAGCAAATATTTATATATTCTGATTTTTGTAGATATGATTTTCATTTACATCCCAAATATTAGGACTGAAGAAGAATCTTGAAGTTAAATGTGTTTAAGGTCAGAAGGGGTGTGGTGATAATTGCCAATGTATGGAAGCATTTTGTTTATCTTGTTAATTAATGAACAAGTTTTAATCTACTTTTACAACTTAATAACCAGTGTTTATAATGTGAAAGTGAGATGCCTTTTTGAGTTTTGACAGAATGCTTGTGTGATCACAGCCTATTCCTTTGATAATCATGGATTTGTAGACTGCTTTTGAGCAAACTTCAACCTCATATATGACTTAATTAAACACCTTGTTTTGTATAAACAAAGTTAGAATTTTACAAAGCTTAATCATCAAGGAAAAAAAAAAAACCAAACTTTAGAGTTTTTTTTTTTTTTTTTAAATTTGGCCAATACTTTTAATTTTGTAAATTAATACTATATATTTTTTTTTTTTTAGTCAACTATGGCTTCTCTCTACAGTTCAATTAGCTGTGGTTGAGTAATATAGTTCTCGAAGCGAATAAACCTATTATTTAGCGGACCTTGGAGTTGCTGACGATCCGAGTTGTTTACCGAGAGTCCATCAAGGGTCCATTAATTATATAAATGTACCAAATTCTTTCAAACTTGTGGTGGGATATGAAGGAGTTTGTTTCAATAATACATTCTTCCAATTTAGAGATTTTAAAAGAAAGGATGAACGACCAAAAATAGCCATATGGATTTGAGTTGGAGTGTTGTGCGACCAACTACAGCCAAATAAGCAACAAAATAACGGACTCTAGACGGAGGTTGTAACTGACAAGTAAAAATAAGTCAGAGACAATAATTGGAAAAATTAAAAGTATTGATTAAATTAAAAATGTTAAAATTTAAACTGTTTTTTAGTGATTTACTCAATTTAAAATATAAAATTAAATTAAATTTCATAATACTATTTTGAAATAAATTTATAATTTAAATTGTGATAGAAAAGGAGGAAGGGACAGTGGTGGACAAGGTTGACAATTTAATGGACTAAATAATTTAATGGATTCAAATGTTGGTAAAATTTATTGCACTTAACTGGAGAAGTACAACCTTCTAGCTATCCCTAAAAATGTTATTTCTCTTTTATAAAGGAAGTTGGATGATCTAGCATTTTGATTTGAGCTTGTTCGGCAATACTAGCCCTTTTTAGTAACTGTTAGTGATTTTACGAGCTCTTATCTGTTTTAATAGCTTTTAGTTGTTAGTTGTTTTTATAACTATTCAGAGTAAAAGTGTTTAGTAAAAATAACTGTTTGATTAGCTGTTGAATTTAAAATGACAAAAAAAAGACATTTAAATATTGATTGAGATATTTAACTTATCACTATACAAGTGAACTCATTATAAAAAAAGAGAGAATTTATATAATGTGTTATTATTTTTCTGTTAAAAGAATCTAAATTTATAGCGTGTAGTCCAATTATATAAATTGAAATCATATCAGAAGTAAAAGTGTTTAGTAAAATATAACTGTTTTGATTAGCCTTGTTGATAATATTTAAATGTCCAAATTATGAAAAATGACATTTTAAATATTGATGGATATTTAACTTATCACTAATATCAAGTGACTCATTTTATATAAAAAAGAGAGAAATTTTAAATATAATGTGGTTTATTTATTTTTTTGTTTAAATAGAATTTAAATTTAATAGCGTGTGTCCAAATTATATTTAAATTAATTTATATAATGTGTTATTATTTTTCTGTTAAAAGAATCTAAATTTATAGCGTGTAGTCCAATTATATAAATTGAAATCATTATCATTTCTAAAATGATTATAGAATCTCCTCTCATATTCCTCTATTAATTCATTATTAAATTATTTTGTTTAAATTTTTGTGTAAAATAATGTAATTTTTTTAACTTAATTGCAGACTTGCAGCACCATAACAACTATTGAAAAGAAAGACTTTAAACTAATGTTAATATAAATTAATTAAGGATAATATAAGTTAATTAAGGACAAAATTGTCAAAAAGATTTTAATCAAAAAATGGAAATGCTAAACATTAGGTGGATTAACGTTTTAATAAACGCTATCTTATCCACTAATAACTATTTTTCATACTACCTTATCGACTAACTTACAAAAATAGTTTTTTGACGTAGTCAAACTCTAAACCCTTCCTCAAACGTTATTGCTGAACAAAGTCTTTATGGGAAGTGAAAAATCTCAAATTTGAATTTTTTTTTTATTTTTTTTCACTAATTTGATTAGCGTTATTTAAAGGAGAGAGATAACCTATTGTTATAAAACTTACAAGGTTATTTCAACTTATTTGGCATTCAAGGAATAAAAATATCATAATAAACTAAAACATAGTTATGTTTTTAGGAAAAAAAAATATTTATTCAAACATAAAACGTTTATTTGAAGAATAGTGATTTGTTTTAAAACCATGTAAGATTGCTTAATGGTTTACTAGTTCCCATTAAATATTTATTTCTTTCAAAATAAAAAATGTTAATTAAAAGAAAATACTTTTGAATTTGACAAATAATTTATTTGGCGCTGAAAAAAATCCAAAAAAAAAAATGGTAAGTACATATATATATATTTTTAACTCACACTAGTCTTTTTATAAGGCGCGTTGTATATTGATTATGTTCGTTATTCATACTCGTTGAATTTTTTTATGTCATTGCTCCCTGTTATTTGTTATTTATACTCGTTTTTATTTTTTAATATTAAATATTGATTATAATTTTTATTTTATATTATTTAAATTTTTATAATGGTAAAAAATTTTTTCATATGAGATTAATGTGAATAGAATATTATAAAAAATAATTTTTTCTTTTGTTATCTCTTTTCTAAATAAAATATTATAATTTTTTGGATATTAATTAGATTTTTATAATGTTAAAATAAAATTTCATATGACGTTGATGTGAATATAAAGAATATTATAAAAAATTATTTTTTTCCTTTTTTATCTCTCTTCTAAATAAAATATTTTAAACTATAATAAAATTTTTTTTTTTCCTTTTTTTTTATCTCTCTTCTAAATATAAATATTTTAAACTATAATAAAAATCATATCAAAATATTTAAAAAAATAAATTTTGAAAAATAAAATATATTAAAATTTCAAATGTCTTTCCCTATCATAATATATTTAAAAAAAAAATATTTAAATAAATTTTTTTTAAAAAGAATAAAATTTAAATTTTTGAAATGCTTAATTACTATTTATAATATATTTTATTTAAATAATAGTATTTTAATAAAATGATTTTAGTCAACTAAATTAAATATAAATTTTATTAATTATCAAATGATTAAGGGTTATTTTAGTAAATATTTATATTTTATCTAAGAGTACGGTCCAGTTAAATGCTTATTTATTCTCTATATTCCTAACATTTGTATATAAGGTTATATAATAATATAATATATAATATGTTTGAAAAAAAAATTAAATTGATATTTTCTTTTAATTTTTTGTTGAATATAATTATTAAATCTAGTGTTCTAATGTTTTTTTAAATTTTTACAAATTATATTGAGATGGGAAAACTTATATGAGTAAATCCTATATTTTTTAAAGTTTATAAAAATAATTTTAATAAATTATATTTAGTCAACTAATAAATATAATTTTATAATTTATCATGATTAAGGTTATTTTAGAATATTTAAATTTTATTAAGAGTACGGTCAGAAATCTTATTATTCTCCTATATTCCTACATTTGTATATAGTATAAATAATAAAATTAATATGTCTGAAAAAAATTAAAATGATATTTTCTTTTAATTTTTGTTGAATAAATTATAAATCTAGTGTCTAAATTTTTTAAATTTTTACAATTTAATTGAGATGGAAAACTTTTATGATTGAGTATCTAATCTTTTTAAAAGTTTATTGTTGATTTGGACACCCAAAATGTGACTCAACTAACATTGGATCCCACTTGAACCTAGTTAGACGCCTACATAGTATGATATGTCATCATTAACTTGTGAAAAGTTGAAAAAATGACAAAATTACCGTTTTATCCTAAGCTTCTGCTTATCCTCTGTGGTTCTCAACTGTCCTTTCCTTCTCTGCAGAAAATTTTACCGCTGTTAGCCACAAACCTATTTATCTTTCTGCTTTGTGGTTGTCTCAATTTTTATTTAGAGCAACCACATAAATTGAGCGAGAGATTTATTGAACTCAAATCAAGTTCTGAGCCTTAACGGGAACTATGTATAAATTCACAATATTTTCTAAATGATTGGTTGATGTCTTTAGTTTATTTCTGTTCTTAAATTTTTAATGATTAAATAAAATATAATAAAAATATTATGATCCGATTTTGTACCAAAATTCATTATTCAACATCAAATACGCGGCATAAGTACTATAGCTAGGGATAGTCTAAAGTGTCTCTTGAATTAACTAATTTAACAATAATTGGCGCTAAATAATGTAAGGAGGTTTGCAACCGACTCTACAGTAACTAAAAAAATTATCACTGTAATAATAAAAGTGGTGCTAAAGGCAGCGCCAACTGCTGCTATAAGTAGTAGGAAAAATTATTGAGGCAGTTCCAACTGTCCCCATATTTGGTGGGAAAAATTATAGAGGTAGTTTTAGAGGCACAATCCACAGTACTAATAATTGATAGTTGAAATTTAAAATTACGGCAGGAATTTAATTAGGTGCGGTTGAAATTGCCGTTACATCTTACCAGAACAAGATGACGGGAAATATATGGCTATTTAAAGATAAATACGCAGAGACATTTATAACTGCATCTAACTTATTTGTTGCAGCAGGTGAAAACGCGGAAAAACAACTGCCCTACCATACGAACTACCCCGACGTTTGGAATAATCACCACTACATTGTAGAGATAGGGTTGTAGCGGCAGTTTTAATAACCGCCTCGTAGAGGCGTTTAGGACCGCCTATACAAAAGAAACCGCCTCCAAAACTCTGATTTCCTGTAGTGCATATAATTTACTTTTTTGTATTTTCATATTCACATTTTCTAATTTAATCTACAGATCATGCAAACTCACCTTGGTAGGGATGTTAGGGTCCAACTGACCGACTCGAGTCTACCTGAGTGATCCAATCCGAATACAGTATATATGGTATTTTCCTTGCATATTCAACAAGGTTTTAAAATGTTTCCTCATCCAAATGAATAAATTATTAATTTTGCATTATTGAAATGATTGTTGTGGGATTAGAAGGCAAGATCCACTTCTTTGGCTTAATTAACTAACAATCTCTTAATTTGTAGCATGTGGTATTATTGAGTCCGCCATGTGCTCTCTTCTTAATCTTTATCATTAAACTTCCATCTTCCTTTTAAAACAAAATATATATTATATGTGGCTGGTGAAATTGAAATCAAGTAAAATTATAAGTTTATTTGTACCATTAAATTTTATTTATAGAAATTTACAAATCTAATTAAATTTTAATGTTTAATTAGGATGAAAACCTTATTTAGAATAATTTTATGGAATTAATTATATATACTTGAATCAAATTTTATTGAATTTGTAAATAAATTCTAATCTTAAAAGATGTACAACTTATTAAAGCTAATGGATTCTTATATATAAGCTAGTCAAACTACATATCCAAATTAATTATATTTCCTAAAAAAATAAATTATATATCTACAAGAGCATTGGCGTTTATCCAAATATGAAAATTCATCTGTAAATTAAAAATTCCAAATAGTAACTAAAAACTGTATAAGAAAAAGACTGAGAAAGAATTTTGTGAATTTAGTATTTATAAAGTATGATTTATACAATATTTGATTGATATATACAATATTAATATATGGTATGATGACTAACTAATTGAAAATGTTGAGAAGGGAAACTCTAGTTTTGATCAATCTTCTAAAAAGACTATGAGTTCCTTCTTCAAGATCTTGAATACAAAGCTCCAAATTCTTTAGATGACTTTGAACATTCTCTGCATTATTATCATATTTGGATCCAACAAAGGATTCCAATGCAGAATCTGCCGTTGCAAATTCATTCACATCTAAAACTCCTTCTTCTTCTTCCTCATCAGAAGCTATTCTCTTATGAACCATAAGCTTTGAAACTAAAGCCCAATTACTTGACTTGGAAAACAGACCCTTTGGTGCTCCATACACAAATGACAGAAAGGATTTGAACACAGAAAGAGTAATCACTTCAACCTCTTTTAAAATACTAATTATCTTTCCAATATCATCACTTCCATTTGAAGACGAAAAGCATTTCTTCTCCAAACCTTTCAGATTACTCAAAGCCTTTTGAATGGACTTCTTAGCCATCTTTCTGGAAGTCAAATATTTCTTGACCTCAATTTCCACACCATTTTGCCTTCTACGGATAGTCGACTCAAGTTCCAGAGTATACTCCTTCGTTTGCAACAAAGCATCTTTAGCGGCGTTACAAACGTCGAGAAGTCGAAGAGATCCGTCAAGCAACTCATCAACGCATTTACGGTTCTGATGATGCGCTAATAACGCTTGTTGAGTTAACGGCAGAAGAAGCAATTTATCAACGCAGTCATGCAAATCTTGAAGATGGGTAAGCTTGTTGGCTATGGAAGTTGATGATGACGTGGAAGCAGCATCAGAAATCCTTAATCTGGATATATGGTCATCCAGTTGTGCAATAAGAGGGTGTGGTCTTGAAGGTAAGCTATCTGAGCGATTATGGAAAAAGGTAGTGTTGGCCATTTTTGTTTCTTGGTGAAGAGAAGAGAAGCTTTTGCTGTGATTTTTGGGTTTCAAATGGAGACTATATGTATATATATGTATGAAGGGGAAAAGGAGACAGGAGGAATCTCAAATCCTCGATAATCTTCATGGCATTGTGATTTCGATTTGGATCTAACACACAAATCTCAGCCATGTCTTCGCAATGTCTGTCGCCAACCATTTCTCCAGCTCATAAGTAAATTAAAAATGGGCAAATGGTTTCTGATAACAGAAATGGCATTCAATAATTGAAGCGCACGGGTTGCATTTGCCTGGAAAGAATAAGATGAAAGGTGTTATTTGCTTGCAATTTAGAAGCATTACTGTTTAGCCTTATATGTGAGACAAGACAATTTTCGTTTGTTCGATTTTTGAAGGTTGCTATTTTGCTAAGTGCAGTACCAGCATATGCTGTTATAAATGTGGTGCTCCTGTTCTTTTTTTTTTTTTTTTTCAAGCAAATGTGATGTCTCAATGTTAAGGATATATAAGCATATTTACATACTTGATGATTAATATATATTAACAATAAATGTATAAAGTAAATAGTAACGACTTCATATAAATACAAAAATATAATATATTTTTTAAAAAAAATTTAACTATTGAATTTCCAACAATTAATTTCTAATTTACTACTATTCTTTCAAAAACAAAAATTCTATTTTACAATTATGGATGTCAAGATGAGCTAGAACAGGTAAATACTATTTACCATGGTTTTGAAAATCGCATGGAATGGGTCAGTCTGACTGCTTTAATTGAAAATTGAACTATGGTCCAAATCTGAGTTGGATTAAAATCGGAAGGTCAAAAACTGCTAAGAACTGGTGAAATATTTGGATAAGAACCAGCACACTAGCAAAGTTCTAAAAAAAAAAAAAAAAGAAAGGAATAGATGAGAGAAAATTGGAGCGTGCGGGTTGATCTAGATTTGGATGGTGGCTGGATCACCTTCACCTAAAGCGGCTCGCCAAGTTGTTTGACTTGGTGCCAGCGGTTAGACTGACCAACCACCCTTGCTGTTGATTTTTCTCCTCACAAGTTTCTCGTTCTTCCTATTAACTAGTCCTATGAATCCTGCCATTCATCACAGTAGGAACCAAATCGCTTAACGAGGCAAGGCAGACATTTCGTCAATCATATGGAGTAGTTTAACATTCGGTGAAAACTTACCGCTAAAAACCAGTGAATTAATTGCATGAATTTCAAGGCCATATCTGATTTCTCTAAGTGCAAACATTTTCTTATCTAGCTTTGGATATTTTGTTTGTTTGGTTCCTCTCTCTTTTCTTTTATACTTGTTTATTTGTTGAGAAAAAATTGAGACTTCAATAAAAAAGAGGAATTTAAAGAGTTTGAATTCTTGCCGTGTTTAAGAAAAGAAGTATGATTCAAGTGGTATAATCCTCCTTTAGCCTTATCAATGGCAACAACAACATCAGTTAGCAAATCTAGCAAAACACAATGGTTAGATAAAGTTTTAATAGAAATGTGATTTGATTTGGCTAGGGTATATGCTGATATTAGGTTACATGTAAAACTAGGTATGTAGAGCATATTATATAAGTTTTGGCTTTCATTTAATGGTATAGTAACTGTGTGTGATCAATTTGGCCTCCCTTTGTTTCTCAACCTTAAGTACCATAGAGCATGCTTTATTTATGCTAGGAAAAGGATCCATGAGCAATATTTGATTTTTCACATGATCATAGTTATCATTCAGTCCCATTAAGAATTGCATAAGCCTATCTCCATTTCCAATGTATGCCATTCATCTGGTTGCTCCACAAGTAGGGATAGCAATTATACTCGACCCAGCACGTACTCGATCCAATTTAATCCGATTTTAGCAAGTTCAAATAGTGAATAAATGAGTTTTGGACGGATTCCGGTAATGTTTTTACTATTCGTATCTGATTCGGATTTGGTTCGGGTTCAAGGAATTGAGTAACCGCTACCCATTATCCGTTCAATAAATTTTCAAGAAATATTTAAAATAATTATTTTTTAAAAGAGAAAATTATATATATACATTTTTTAATTATAATTAATGCTATAATTAAAGTAAAGAAAGGAGAATACAAAAAAAAAGATAGATGAAGAATTTCCCTATGAGCAATATTTGATTTTTCACATGATCATAGTTATCATTCAGTCCCATTAAAGAATTGCAAATAAGCCTATCTCCATTTCCAATGTATGCCATACCCCTCATCTGGTTGCCTCCAAACACGTAGGGGATAGCAATTATACTCGACCCAGCACGTACTGATCCAATTTAATCCATTTTAGCAAAAGTTCAAAATTAGTGAATAAATGAAGTTTTTGGAACGGATTCCGGTAATGTTTTTCTATTCCGCTATCTGATTCGGATTTGGTTCGGGTTCAAGGAAATTGAGTAACTCGTACCCTTATCCGTTCAACATAAATTTTTAAGAAATATTTTAAAAATATTATTTTTAAAAGAGAAAATTATATATATACATTTTTTTAATTATATAATGCTATAATTATATTTAATGTTATAATTATATTTAATGTTTATATTATATTTATTATTAAGTTAAAATAAATAATTTTATAATTTTTATTTGCCTTTTATTTTTTAAAAATTAAAATAAAAAATATTATTAATGTTAAATGGTTTGGATTTTAAACAGGTAATTACAATCGAATTTGGAATGAATTCAAATAATAAAAATGAATTTCTAAACCGGTGGAGGAGACGGGAGAGGGCATCTACATCAACAGAGGAGGATAGTTGGTGGCCGTTGTTACGATGACGGCGTTGGTGCCGGAACTGAGGTAGCGTTGTATATGTTTGGCAGATAGTGTCGCTTCTGAATTGAGAATAAAGAGAAGGTGAGATGTTTCAATGGGCAGAAGAGAGAGAGAGCATACGTGAGAGAGAAATCAATCAAATAAATTTGTGATGTGGAATTACTTAAATTCATTAGGATGCTGTCAAAGTAATACCATGTCAGCTTTTAACCGGCTCCTGAGTGAGAAATGGACTAATTAACTTTTTTGTTATTCTCATTAAAGTTTGTGTATTTTTTTTTTATTAACGTATTGAATTATAGGAACAATTAAGCAATATTTTTTTTACTTCAGGAATCACAAGTGAAAATAAGCCTTAGCCAACTCTTCTCATAGTTCCTAAGCACTATTTGTATATCGAATTTAAGATTCATGACTCAACCATATTATCATCCCTCAGCCATTTCTCATATAATGGGAGATCAAAATTAGGTTTAGAACATTGGCTATTGACCAAACCTATTTATCTTTGGACCTAAGAGCAATTAGCATAGATATGCTCTATAAAAGATAGTTAGTTCCAGTAAGGGGTACACTTCCCAGATTAGATGTTTATTTATCTGAATTCACCATTTTGTAGATTTCTAATTCTTCTTACTCTGTTCTTTGTGTTGTCTCTGTCGTCATGATGATGATGAGTTATATTCACTGAAGTGTCAGTTTCCGAGAAGAAGAATGGAGAGAAGTGAACAGTGAACTCTGTCAAAACAGCTTCATAGTACAAGCTCTAATACCATGATCAAATATTCAAGATGAAGAGAACTAACAGAGAAAGTGGAAAAATCTTTATATATATAGTATTGTGTATTGAAGAAGAAGATTAAAGATTCTTTATATGTATTATTGTGTATTGAAGAACAAGATTACAATATATTTAGTTGAGTTCCTTATATACAAGGTCACTATATTATAATTGCTCTGCAACCTCAGCAACGTGAGATAAATAGATTGTAACTAATGTCTAACAAACTTAACCTACAGTTTGTGATTCAGATGGCAATGCAAGCTGGGCATGTGTCAAGAACTTTCAGATTCAATCCTTATTAAACAAATCTGCAGGGAGTAGCGAAATACCTTAACTATAACTAAGCTTCCAGTCAGATTTTATGCGGTCCCTGGTAATAGGATCTGAATACTGGTGATTTACAAATAAAAAATAATAATTAAAAAAAACAACTAACAAACTTAACAAACTATATTGAGGCTTATCTAGATTTTGGGCCTGGTGATGGGTAAGTCATTTTTACATGTAGTCCCATTTACACCGGTTCAACTTTCCACTCCTAACATCTTTAAAAAGACATGACATGATTAGACCAATCAGATTCATGTCCAATCAGATTATACCAAATGCCTTTTATATATATATATATATTGTTAAGTTGAATTCAAATACATAGTTTATAGTTTGTAAATTCTTTTACTCATTGTAAAATTTTATGTTTGAGTTATTATTAACAAATAATTTATTTTCCAAGATGAGAGTTATTTCTTCCACCTTAATATGTGTGTGTATATATATTGTTATAAATAAATAAGTGGGATATCTCAAAAGATTCCTTTGTTTTTTATCCCACAATAATAGTTTTGTTGTTTTTTCTCTTTTCTTGAACAATCATTTGAGCGAAAAGAAGGAGCACACCAGTATTTATCCTAAAAAAAAAAAAAAAAAAAAAAAAGAAAGAAGGAGCAACAGGTTATTTTCTAAAAAAAAAAAAAAAAAAAAAAATCAAAGGCTTATGCACACGAGTGCTCGAGATGAAATTAATTAAATTTAAAATTAAATTAAAATAACTTAATTAAATTTAAAATTAGATTAGGTTGTATCCATGTGCATGGAAGAATCGCACAATATTTGCATGCAGGAAATGAAAAAGAGTTGGCACAAATAAATAATGTAAGATGTCCATGTTACCATGTGCTTAATTATTTATATATTACACAAATCAAATCATCTAAAACACAATTGATGATTATGCACTAGTCATTGCTAAGGCAATTCTTATTAAGCTTTCTGATTCAAATCTGAAATACACGAATATACATATTTCTATATTAGATGACTTTTGTTAAAAAACAGTTTAGGCAGAGGATCAAAGTCAGGATTTCAATACAAGAAAAGTAAAATATTGAAAATAAATATTATGAAAAGCAATTAGTTAAAATTAGGAAGATTAAATCCCTGAATATACTCCCCTGATCCATTTCGTTTGCATAGTTTGACAAAATATGCATATTAAGAATTTAGTCAATAAAAATTATTTTGCCATTTTTTTTTACCCTTAATTCATTAAGATATTAATAAAAATATTTCATGTAATAAACAATCATAAAGGTTATCATAGGAAAAATAATTGTTTGCATACATAAATTTAGAAACATTCCAAATATTATGGAACATTCAAAAAATGAATAACAAACAAACAAAATAGGATAGAGGGAGTATATATTATTTAGTAATTAACCTGCACATATATATAATTTTGGAAGTGATTAGCACATTGCATCAAACTTAAATACAAGGGACGTAAAATATTGGAAGTAAATATTATGATGAATAATTAGTTAAAGATTAAGTAGATTACTCTATAAATTATGAATCTGCTCCTTGAATTTTTTTTTTTTTTTAATTTAGTAACCTGCAAATATAGTTTCTAAAGTGGTCTTATTGCATAAAAATTTCAAGCTGCATAACCATTCTAATTTAGCTATTAATTGCAAATGAAGCTTGCTTTATTGCCACAAGCTGATATCATGGATCTATTCAATCCTTTTTCCTGTTATACGTTTTTTTCCTTTTTTTTTTTTTTTTTTTTTTTTTTTTTTTTTTTTTTTTTTTTTTGGTAAGTTTAATGAAACTGGAAAAAATATTGCAGTCTTTTTTTTTTTTTTTTTTTTTTTTGGTAAAGTTAATGAATGGAAAAAATATTGCAGTCTACATAACAGGATAGCCCTCCCTTTTACTCACCAAAGTGTTAAAAAGCTTTTCATTTCGAAAGAGAACGAAATTGAGATATCTTATTTTCTACACTAACAGAAAAATGAACCAAATTACACCTGATTGACTTTAAATAAGTTTCTTTTATCATTATTAGATTGAATTGTTTTAATTCGTAACATTGCAAATTTATAATTCTTTTTATATAAAACCTATATTATGGAAAAGAAAAAAATATTATTATTTATTAATGCACTCGTGTGGTGCAATTATTAGATGTTATGAGTTGGAGAAGTGGTAGGCAAGAGACACTCCGAAGACATTGCTGAGATTTGTGTGTTAGATCCAAATCCGAAAGATTATCGAGGACATCAGATTCCTCTTGTCTCCTCTTCCAATTCATACATATAACATTTCCATTTCAAACCCAAAAATCACTCTCAAAACTTCAATCTATCTGTAAGCTTCTCTTCGCTTCTCCAACAAATAGAAATGGCTAACACTACCTTATTCCATAATCGCTCCGATAGCTTACCTTCAAGACCACACCCTCTTATTTCACAGCTGGATGATCATATTTCTACATTAAGGATTTCTGATGCTGCTTCCACGTCATCAACTTCCATAACCAACAAGCTTACCCATCTTCAAGATTTGCATGACTGCGTCGATAAATTTCTTCTTCTGCCGTTAACTCAACAAGCCTTATTAGCGCATCATCAGAACCGTAAATGCGTTGATGAGTTGCTTGACGGATCTCTTCGACTTCTCGACGTTTGTAACGCCGCTAAAGATGCGTTGTTGCAAACTAAAGAGTACACTCTGGAACTTGAGTCGACCATCCGCAGAAGGCAAACCGGTGTCGAACTTGAGGTCAAGAAATATTTGACTTCCAGAAAGATGGCTAAGAAGTCAATTCAAAAGGCTTTGAGTAATCTGAAGGGTTTGGAGAAGAAATGCTTTTCGTCTTCAAATGGAAGTGATGAGATAGGGAAGATAATTAGCATTTTAAAAGAGGTTGAAGTAATTACTCTTTCTGTGTTCAAATCCTTTTTGTCATTTGTGTATGGAGCACCAAAGGGTTTGTTTTCCAAGTCGAGTCGTTGGGCTTTGGTTTCAAAGCTTATGATGCAGAAGAGAATAGCTTCTGATGAGGAAGAAGAAGAAGGAGTTGCAGATGGGAATGAATTTGCAATGGCAGATTCTGCATTGGAATCCTTTGTTGGATCCAAATATGATAATATAGAGAATGTTCAAAGCCATTTAAAGAATTTGGAGCTTTGCATTCAACATCTAGAAGAAGGAACTCATAGCCTCTTTAGACGATTGATCAAAACGAGAGTTTCCCTTCTCAACATTTTTAATTAGTTAGTCACAACATCATATATTATATTGTAAATCAATCAAATGTTGTATAAATCAAAAGTTAATCCAGAAGCAAAAGTTCACATAACTCTATCTAAATTTCCCTTTATATATGCCTAAGAAATCTCAAACTTTTTCTTGCATACTTGCGAATTAATGAATCAGTAGCTCAGTTCACGGTAAAATATGTTTGCACTTAATTTCTATCTTCTGCCAAAATTTCAATCCATAATCTTACAACCGCTTAACATTGTATTAAACTAGCAATATACCCGTGCTATGCACGGTTAAAAAAAATAAAATAAAGTAAATTGAGAATATATAATTGAGAATATATATATATATATATATATATAGATTTTTAACTAAAAAATATTATAAAGATATATCAATAGTAAAAAATATATATAAGGTGATTTTGTTATCATTAAAGTAAAAATTAGCAAATGGGTATGTGTTTCAAGAATATGGATTAAAAATATTGAAATGCCTTAGAGATAAATTTAAAAAAAAAAAAAAAGTAAAATGAAAAGTGGTAAAATTCATTAATTTGATTTATTTTAAAATTAATGTGAAAAATTAACTTGTTATTTCATTAAAATCCATGAATAAATAATTTATTTTAATAATTAAGAGTTGTATAAATCTTCAACTTATCATATTATTAATACTATAATTAATCAATTATATTTAACATGGTTTAATTTGATACAAAAGTTTTTAATTTTTTAATATAAAATAATAACTGTCCATATCATTAAAATTTATAAATTATGTAATTTATTTATAACATTAAAAGTTATATAAATTGTTACTTAACTATAAATTGGTTAACTTAAAACACACTATTAAATTCTCTCACGTTATATTAATCATTACTTTAACACGGTTTGATTCAATCATAAATTAATTTATGTTCAATAAATTAAAACAAACAATTAAGTCATACATATGTCATTAATGTTTAAATCCTACGTGGCAATCTAAGAAAATTCTATCTGCCTTATATATATATGTTATGGTGAGGCCAACTCAAGTGGACCACAATCACAAATGAGAGAAAAAAAAAAAGAAGGAGAAAAAACGTGTTTTTGAAACAGAAGAAACAGTGGCTAAGGGCCTTGGCTCTCGCGGGGGAGGGGGGGGCAACCAACCATGACTAAATGGAAAGCCGTGTGTGACTCACACACGACTCTCACATCACTGTCCTATAAATAGGAGATGGCTCAGCTCATCTCAAATACACCAGAGAAGAAAGAGAATAGTAGCGAGCTTCGGAGTTTTCTAGTTTTATAGACTGGGTTTTCTAGAATTAGGTGGAGAGGAAAAATGAGAGAAAAATAGTGAGGAAATATTATGGGGTGTTTTTGGGAAACACTTTGTGTGCCACTATTTTTGTATTACTCTCTTTGTGTACCTACTATTTTTTTTTTAATATTGGAAGAATGATTCGGAGTTTGTCCCATGGACGTAGCCCTAAACAGTTGAAGGTGAATCACGTAAATTTCTGTGTGTCCTATTTCTATTTTTCCGCTGTGTTAATTTTCTCTTAATTAGTTGAAAGGGCCCAACGAGTGGTATCAGAGCTGATGCCCAACGAGCGGTATCAGAGCTGATGCCCAACGAGCGGTATCAGAGCTGATTCCTAACAATATATATATATATTGATTTGATAGTTGACAGCTACAAAAACATGAAAAAACTCTTGAGTAAGAACGACTAACCCCATTAGTGAAAATAGTTGAAATGTAGAAAATTTTGTATTTTTTAAAAAAATGAATAATATATTTAAAAGCAGAAACCAGTATACCTTTACCAAGAATATAGAGAGATACAGTGATACAATTTATATTTAGTATTTCTAAAAAAGCTAAAGTGTTTCTTGAGGGTAAATATTTTAAAATTAAAAAAAAAAAAAGTGGATTACTATACTATTTAAAAAATAATAATAAATGAAAACATTTGGATAGGAAAAATTAAATATAAATTAACGGTTGTTAGAAGAAACGTTTGTTACTTCACAAATTTGAAACTAAAGATTTGTTGCAAAGCAATACATTAATACATTAATTGAATAATTCATTGTTATTAAACTTTATCATTTTTTAAAAATTAATAATTGTTTAAAAATTAATAATTAAATTAATAATTAATAATAATTACTTAAAGCCATTAATACATTAAATAACTAAATCAAACCAAACCAAAAACACTAATTTAAAATAAATCCAAACTAAATCAATACATTAATACATTAAATAATCAAATCAAACCAAATCAAAAACACTAGCTCAAAATAAATACAAACTAAACTAATACATTAATACATTGAATAATCAAATCAAACCAAACCAAAAATACTAATTCAAAATAAATCCATACTAAACCAAACCAAACAAGCCAATACATTAAATACATTAAATAATCAAATCAAATCATACCAAGTGGAAGTCTAATTGAAAAAATATGTTATATTTCAAATTAAAATGTCAAGTGGATTTGTCACATGTCAACTTTCTAGGGAAAAAATGTTTGTTTTATATATATACTAGCAGCATGCTTATGTTATGCATAGTAAATATCTTTATCAATAATCATAGAGATATTGTGATAATATTTTAAAATATATATTTTAATTAAGAAAAAAATTTATAATTTAAAATTTAATTTATAATTTAAATTATTTATAATTTTAAATTTGTTAATTTTGTTGAAAATTATTTAAATTAAAGAACATTTATTTCAAATTCAAAACATTAGATTAATTATATAAAAATTAATGTTTATAATAAAATTGAAAAAAAAGGAAATATATATTAAAAATCATTGTTTTAATTTATTTTTGAATTAATAAATGTTCTTAGATGATATTAAAAATAACAAAATAAAATAAAATAAAATGGACAGTAAAAATTCAATTATAGACGTATAAATATAATTCTCAATGATAATTTTATACAAACTTTCTAATGATTTATTAAAATTTTCCTAATTTAATAGAGTAATAGAAATTTAGAAGAGAAAAAAATATATATCAATGTCGAAAAGAAATTGTATAAGAATTATTGAAATTACAAAAAAAAAAAAGACCTAACAAAACCTCAAAGAGCTCTCTCTATTTATATTCTAGTAATAAGTAATTAATTGTAATTCAATATAATATCATTAAAATTAATAAAGAAAACTATATATAGCATTTTTAAGACAAATAAATATTGAAACATTTGAATATTCATTGTTAATAAAACTATTAATAAATATTTTCATCATTAACCTTCTCTATCATTCTTTTAAATATAAAATTTTCATTCATAATAATAAATGATCATTATGATTGATTATAATGATATTTAGTATCAATATTATAATAATATTAATTTTAAAAAATAAGGAATACATATTAATATGATAATCAACATCAAATTTATGATAATTTTTTAATTAAAAAATAAATTGAGAAAGATAGGTTACAATATTATATTTATTATAATTATTTACTAAAATGTATTAATTATGATAATTGAATGATAACTAATATCAATATTTATATAACAATATAACTAACAATTAAATTCTATGTGACACTATCAAAATTAAAGAGTCATATGTGGCATTATAATCTCATGTATCATCACCAAGAATCTTATGTGGCAAAAGTAAGAGAAGAGCATTCATTTAAGAAGTGTCACATGTTAACTTCTTGAGAAAAAAATGCTTTATATATACTAATTATCAATATTTATATAACATTATAACTAATAATTAAATTTTATGTGGCACTATCAAAATTTAAAAGTCCTATGTATCGTCACCAAAATTTAAGAATCTTATATGGTAAGAGCAAGAAAAGAGCATTCATTTGAGAAATGTTACGTATCTAGCTTCTTGGAAAAAAATGTTTGCTATATATATATATATATATATATATTGATTTAAGTTTAATAGAATGAGATAGGTTGTGTAACGAAATTAGTAGAGCTATAACTTCCTTTCTAGGTCGTCATTTGAATTTTCTATTGCGTTAACGAAAATAGGTACTGGGAAAATAAGAGGAAAGTAATTCTGTTAATCACGTAAAATAAATTACCATCACTAACAATAACAATTCTAACCTCATCGAACGTGAAGGCTTCAATGTGATTAAATTATAAATGAACGTATATGATCAAACAACTAATAGTGTACTGTTGAAATCAATTTCAAAGCCGTGCTGAGATTCCTCTTGTCCCAATGAAGCTAATTAATTAAAACATAAAATTGGAATTTAATTAATAAATTAATGACATGCAATAGCACATGTAGACTTTGATATCACACGTTTCAATCAATGAAAAATGAGGTGATTGTCCCTTTGTTAGGGAATCATTTAATCAACATCATATGGATCTTGCCTTCCAATTGCTTTACAATCCTTTCAAATAATTTAGATTAACTCAATAATATTGTTGTACTATTAGCATCCACATACACGTTTAGATTAGAGAAAGTTGGAAAAACCCCAAATACAAATAGTAGAGAGGCAAGGAATGCAATTCTTAGATGCGGACCCAGCTCAAAGGGTTAGGAGGCCAAAAACTAATTTTTCTTAATTAGAGGGGTCAAACTAAAAATATTTTCTCAAAATTATTTTTACTATTAAAAATGGATAAATTATAGTACGATCTTTGAAGTTTGTGAAATATAATTAGTCCATCCTTGAATTTTTTTTTTTTTTTTAATATACTAATTTGTCCTTATGTTTTGCTTCCGTTACATTATTGGGTACTTTCATCTAATTTTTGTATATTTTTTGTTAAGTCAATAAGAAAACACAGAGGTCAAAAGAGAGGTACTAAAATATTATATCAGAAAAATTATAGTACAGTCCCTATAGTTTGAAAAATATAAGTAGTTTGTCCCTGTGTTTTTAAAAATAAAGAGTATTTTCGTCATTTCATGAGGTACTTAATATATTATAAAGTTTACTCAATATATTATTGGTTCCGTTTGATTTTTGGTTTTTTCAAAAGTTTACTCAATATATTATAAAGTAAACTGCATGAAAGGTAAATGACAATTCAAATGAAAAATAGTTCTCTATTGGTATTGATTAAAAAATCCTTGTGCAAGGTAAAATGAAATTAGTAAATTAGATTTGAAATTTCATTCAAATGATTAACGGCTAAAATTAAGAGAACTAACATGATTTAGTAAATCAGATATACTCCATACCTAATTACTAAATCATAACATTAATTATGAAGGGATATTAATTACACTGATAAATCATACACTGAAAGGTTAAGTCAAACCACTTTGATTTTTCAAATATTTGGATAGTATTGACAAGTTGTTAGACAATGTACTTGACCTTCAAATATTAATTAATTAATTTAATTTATATTTATTGCCAACATATTTGAAACCTAGAAGGTCACACACATAAAAATAGATATGAAAAAATGAGAACGAGAAATCGAATCAAGTATAACTTGATTACAAATTAATTTTGAGACATTAAGGGCAAAATTGTAATTTATATTTAATTACAATTTTACCTAAATTATTAAGTATTGACTTAATTGATTTATGTCTAAAATTTATTAAGATATTGTAAATTTATATTTAATTGACAATTTTACCTAAATTGATTAAGTATTGACTTATGTGATTGTATGTCTAAAATTTATTAAGATAGATTTTAATTAAAATAGAACATGAAAATTTTTAATTATGATTTATTTATTTAAATAGTTTAAATAAATTAGTATAGATTGATTAAATTGTGCTTAGTACTATATGTATTATGATTTTATATTATTTAGAATTGTTTAAATAAATAAATTGGCCACATATAATATTAGTAAAATAATTTTAATTTATTTAGAAAGGTTTAAATAAATAATTTATAAGTTTATTTATTTAGTGACTTGAAAGGATTTTATTTTGAATATAAGGTTTAGGAGATAAGTAGTCTTAAAGATATGAGTTGTTTGCTCATTAGCCAAACTAACATAGAGCGTAATGAATAGGCACATATATATTTTAGTAATAATTTATTTATTTAAAAGGTTTAAATAAATAATTATAATTTATTTATTTATGACTTAAGGATTTATATATAAGGTTTAAGATATAGTCTAAAGATATGAGTTGTTGCTCATAGCCACAAAACTAAACATAGAGCGTATGATAGCTAGCACCATCATACACTCTAACCTCTCAACTCTCTAAAATAGTTTTACAGTTTTTCAATTGTCTATTCGTGTGGATACTATTAGATGCCGGACACTTAGATGGCTTGTGGTCTGTGACAACCTAGTCACGTAGATCGAAGTTTCGAAGAATCTGCAAAAGAGGTATTGTTTTAAACAATTTTTATTTTTTTAATTGTTTAAACAGATCCTTGTTGATATAATTATTTTGTTATATTTATATTATTCTGCTGCGTATTATTGATATTGAAACTCAACAGGATGTTCTAGACTACCAAAGCTAAGAGCATCAAGAGACTTGAGCTTTGAGACAGTCACAATCTGAGATTTTTAGAAGAGGAATTGTTGAAGGAGAAAGAGAGGGTAATTTGGAAAGAAACTGTTTTATTAAAACAGTGTTTTGATCCCTTGAATTAAATTAACCCAAGGTCAAGCTATAGTCTCAGAATAATATATTTTATTTCATTTTAGGTCTCAATTTAAAATATGGTGCTAATATATTTATGTTTCAAAACGAGGGTGTCTGGGATACAAAGCTAAAATTAGAGTAATTTTACAACAACTCATATAGTTGAGAGTATTTTTGTAGATTTATCCCTTTAAGAATTATCTTCAAGATATAAGAAGAGCTTAGTTAAAGAATTCATGTGGACCAACTGAAGGCTCCACATTTGATGGACTAAAAAGCTAAAGGTTCAAAAGACAAGCTTTTCAAGGTTTGCTATTAAATTGGAGATTACTTTACCTAACCTCACTTTGGGTTGCCCAAAGTGCTAGAGTTTGGGAAGTGAAAGTTTCTATGAGGCCACTCAAAATGCCAGAGAAAGGAGAAAAATGGTAACATCTTCCTCCTTCTTCATAGTTTAGGCTTGTATTTCAGGGCTTATTTGATTGATATTGTTAGGTACATGTGGGATTTTTTGGGCCTACAATGCGTATAAAGAGACTTTACCCATTGTAATTAATGGAGCGAAAGAATTTTTGAAAAGTTCATGATTCTAAGTTCCCTCTACACCAACTTAATTTTGTTGTGCCCTTTAATGCTCCCATCCATGAGGTCGAACTTAAGTTCCCCTAGCTCCTATAGCATACATTCACACTCCATGCAACACCTCCTAGACAACACTATTAATATTGGGAATTACTATTTTATCTCTGCATTTTGCTAGAATTTACTGGTCTGTCCCTTCATTTTGAAATTTCATTAGTTTGACATTAATTTCTCTTTTTCATGTTTCTGTCAATTTTGCAATATTATTTTGAAAAAATTCAATATTTGACCTTGTGTTTTACAAAATTAACTATATTGTTCCAACATATTTTGCAATGTTTCATACTTTTAACAAAAAAACAAAATACAAAAACTGACCCAAGGGGAAAGTAGTGTTATGGATTAAAATATATGGAAAAATTAGTATTTTTTAAAAAATGCTAGGACAGACTAGTGTATTATAATAAAGTAAAATGACAAAATAATAATTTTCTTTCAATATTAACACGTCATTCGATATCTCTAATAATTTCAATGATTTGTAGTAAAAGCCCAAAGAAATGCCAAAATGTGCTGAATTGAAATTTAAATCCTTTTTTTTTTTTTCCTCTTCATTAACCCAAGGCTATAGACTTATGCAGTTTTTTGTATTACTCCTCGATTATAGTTTTTTTAAACTTCTCAAATCTTACCACACGATGTTAGACTTGTTAACAAATTCAACCCAATAAGAATTATAATTATACACATATATTTTGTCCAAATTAATTACTCTATCCTTGTATTTTTTTCAAAATACGCTACTATACACTCATGTTTTATGTCTGTTACTGTCCATTTTTTGTACTTTCAAAGATCAATTCAAAGAAAAATCTAACTGTCTAAAGAGAGAATTTTTTTTTACCAAAATACCATCTTCTTCTTCCTCTCTTTCTCTTCCAACAAACAAGTCTAAAACTTTTTCTCTCTAATTTATCTCTCTAAAAGAAGAAGAAGAAGAGATGATGCCATTCGGTTGTAAAATTTGGAACACATATATTAATATCATTAGTAATTAATATAGTAATAGAAATCCTTCTTATTTTTTATTGTCATTGTTGAAATAATAATAAGATTATGATTTTCAATTTAGAGAGAAAATATCAACTAAGTTTTTCTCCCTGTAATAGCTCTCATTGTATTTTATTTTCTTTTTAAAATAATTAATTTATAAAAATTGAATATTCTGAAGAAAGTAAGAGAAGGTGATATTTTTTCTCTTAACAAATTTGAGTTTCATGGAAGATCGGTGAAATTTGGATTTAAAAGTTTTGGAATTTAGGAATTTCTTGAAATCAATTTTAATTGGTGATCAAAAAGGAAAATGGGTGTAAATTGAATTTCTCATAAGATTCTAATGATTTTGATGGTTAGGTTAAAAGATTTTGAAATAACTCAATTTTCCCGTTACCTTGGGCAAGCGCAACGACATTGCTGAAAACAGTAAGAAAATTGATCCTAACTCTTGGTTGGACCATATACTACATCATGAACTTTAAGTCATCTGTGGAATTTCTCTACTAAAAACAGTAAGAAAATCAGGACGGAAGATGTTCAAGAACTAATAGAGATCATATCTATCTCAATTGCTTCCCTTCAAAGAGGGAAAATTACACATGCATTAATGAAACTAAGTGTCTCGCTATATTACATTTTCTTTTATCAATAAAACAAATCAATTCAGAGCTCAAATTTTACACAAACTTGCGTGGCCTCAATAATACTCTGTGATCGAGATCTTTTATTGATGATATAGTTAAGTCTCATGATCCTTTCCCACCTCGTTGTTTCTTTTCTTCTAGTGCAGCAGCTTCATTCAACATGTCGGCGGCATCATTATGCATGTCTAGTTTGGCAAGGGCAACTGACTGCATGTAAAAGGCTGTTGGCCACTCCGGATATACACATTGTGCTTGCATTGCATCTCGAAGGGCGGCGTCTGGTTGATCGCATAAAAGATAACAAAGACTGCGCCGTGCAAAAACAGTTGGAGAAACCATTGTTCCTACGTCTATGAACTGCAAAAGTAACAAAGCAAATAGATTATATTCACTATTCCAAGTTGTTCTGGTGTAGCTCCTTGTCAGAATCTCATATTTCTGTCTTGCTAATGCACGTATGTCTGACAAACAAAGGAAGATACAAGAGGATGCTTATGATGGCAAAGAACTATTTGGAACTATAGAACATGAATGCAATTTCAGGCAAGAAACAATGAAGCTGTTAGAGACGCAATAATGATGTTTGCAGTTTTCTAAATTAAGAAATTCTACTATTTAGAAGTTCTATTGAGCAGTTTCCTATTTTATTTTTAGTAGGAGATCTATTAGTTAGTAGTGTCTTTCTATTTAGTAGTTTCCTATTTTTCTTTTTGGTAGATCTCCTATTTAGTAATTTTTCCATTTAGTAGTTTTCCTAATTTATTTATAGTAAGAAATCTCATTCTAGTAGAATTACTTTAATCAATACTTGTATACCTCCATAGATTGGAGAAGGTCTCCTATTTAGAAATCTTCATATTTAGTTGTCTTTCTATTTAGTACTCTTCCTATTTAATAGTTTCCTATTTTATTTTATGGTAGGAGATCCATTCTAGTAGAATTACTTGTATTCCTTTGTGAATTGGAGGCTTTGAGCATGAAATAAAACAAACAGAACTATTTTTAACTAAATTGAGTTCTAGACTCTCTAACGAGACTAAGGTTAGAGCTTTCTTTTAACTAGCCTAATGTTAGAGCTCCCTTTTAACGAGCCTAAGGTTAGAGCTCCCTTTTAATGAGCTTGCAATTTTCAGCAACAATAGGTCAAGGAAAGAATCGAGTTAAAACAAAAGCTTTAGCTTTTGAATTAGATTTTATTGTTAACAGGCCCATTACGAGATCATGGTTGAGTGATCATAACAACCTAGTATCAGGCCAAGTGTCATGGGAGATTCAATCAGTGAGATCAAATATCTTCCATAAGAACTATAGATGCAGAAAACGCTCAAGCTGCCCAATTTGAATTTTGATTTGTAACCTAGCTGCAGAACCTGACTCGTCAAATGCAGAAAGTCCTTAACATATTAAACAGAAATTGAAATTAAGGGAATTAATGGGGGCAAGCATCACAAGGATGCAATGAGTCAGGTACCCGCTTAAAATACACTACCCAAAATGCACTATCTGAACCCAAATCTAATTGTAAATTAGGTACCCGAACTCATCCCAAATCCATTTAGAAATTCACTTTAGGACCCGAACCTATTTAGAATTGAAAACATATATTTTTTTATTTTTGAAAATAAGAACTAAGCAAAAACTATAAAATTATTATTTTTACTTAATAAAAATATAAAAAATATAATTATATTTAAATATAATTATAGCATTAATTATAATTTGTAAATTAGGTTACCCGAAACTCAATCCGCAGAACTCCATTTAGGAAATTCACTTTAGGGACCCGAGACCTATTTAAGAAATTGAAAACATATATTTTTTTATTTTTGAAAATAAGAACTAAGGCAAAGAAACTATAAATGTATTATTTTTGACTTAATAGAAAAATATAAAAAGATATAATTATATTTAAATATAATTATAGCATTTAATTTATAATTAAAAAGATGTTATATATATAGATTTTTCTTTAATATAGCATTAATTATAATTAAAAAGATGTATATATATAATTTTCTTTAAAAAAATAATTATTTTAAATATATTTGGAGTATTAATTAAACAGATAATTGGTAGTAGGTACCCGAATCCTTGAACCCGAAACCGATATGGGAAGTAAAAATACTACTCAAACCCGTCTCAAATCCATTTATTCATTACACAAATCAATCAAAATCGGATTGGATACCCGCCGCATGGGATAAAATTGTCGTCCCTAATCACACCCAACTTGGAAGCACTTTTGAAGCTTGAGGATAAGCTCTTTATTTGGGAGGGGAGTTAATATTAGAGATGCAATTATGATATTTGCAATTTTCTAAAATCAAGTTCTATTGTTTAGAAGTTTTTCTACTTAGTAGTTTCTTATTTATTTTTGGTGGGAGATCTGAAATTTAGTAGTCTTTCTATTTAGTATTCTTATTTAGTAGTTTCCTATTTTTCTTTTTGGTAGGAGATCTCCTATTTAGTTCTCTTTCTATTCAGTAGTTTTCCCATCTAGTAGTTCCTATTTTATTTATGGCAGGAGATCTCATTCTAGAAGAATTACTTTAATTACTTGTATTCCTCTATAAATTGGAGGCTTTAAACAAGAAATACAACAAGCAGAATTATTTTCAACTAACTTTAGATCTAAACTCTCTGTAAGGGGTCTAAGGTTAGCGCTCCCTTTTAACGAGCCTAAGGTTAGAGCTCCCATTTAATGAGCTTGCAATTTTCAACAACAATCGGTCAAGGGATGAATAGAGCTAAAAACAAAAGCTTTAGCTTTCGAATTAGATTGTCGTTAACAAGGTCGTGACGAGATCCTTGTCGTGATTATAACAGATGTCTTCTAAAAATTGTAGAATTTTGGACGGAAAAAGGACAGCTGAAACAAATAACATGAAGAGAAAGATGACAAAATGAAGCATTTGCCAACATCTGTTCTGAATATCCTTAAACCAACAAATAATCAATGGAGCTGCAATATAGAAAATAAAACAGCAGAACAGACATATACATGAATGTTTAGAGCAAAGAATTTCCATTATCTTTTATGTTCTGAAGCCACCTCGACAATAATCTATAGCATGAAATTAGGATTAATAGATGAGTGAACATCATATGCATACCTGGGAATAACAGTCAATGGCAGTTTTAAAATCTTTATCACGGAATGCAAAGTCCCCTCGTTTCCTTGACTCCAGCATATCTCTCATTTGTTGTGTCCATTCTTGGAAAGATAACTGGACCAAATCACATCAACTAAACCTCTCAACATACAATTCAAGAAAAGAAATATATGACATAAACTATATGAATTACCTCATTCGTTCCCTCATCATCTTTATAATGTGTCATAACCAAGATCTGATGAATTGCTGTGAGATCCATCCGTGAACAGGCCTCACCCATTGGTGAGAGAGGACGTGGAGGAGTTGGCGGTGCTTCCTCATGTTTTGCAATTCCAAGCATTACATATGATGGAACCTGCAAACACAGAATAATGGTAACTTAATTTGAAACAAGGTGCTGCTCAGTTGATCTTCATCAAACCAATCACTAATCCCTCACATGCACCCTATTTCTTGTGAGTTCATTTTGAAAATTGAATTTTAAAACTGTTAAGGATTAATTGTAAATAGAACTCTGTTAGGAGTTAGATTCCTAATAGGTTTATAGTATCTTGTATGTGTGTGTATATATGGATTTAAACTTGTAAAAATAGAACTCTGTTAGGAGTTCAGATTCGCTAAATAGGTTTATAGGTATCTTGTATGCTGTGTGGTATAGTATATATATATATATTAATATATATATATATAATATATATAATATATATGTAAGTGTCCCTATTATGTATGTCCCTATTGATGAATAAAAATAAGAAAATATTTTCCCACATTAAATTTACATGGTATCAGAGCCTGTGGCTCTTTCAACTTGATTTTTTTTTTCCGTTGCGTGGAAAATTCCGGTGGCCGTCAGTGTTTCCGGTGCCTGTCAGTGTTGGTGACCATTCTAGGGTCACTATTTTGTCTCACCGCCAAACTCCAGGAGCTGTACCAGCAACCGACCGGCGTTCCCTCAAAATCCGGTCAGTGCATTCCCTGCGCGTGGGCCTCAGGCGCCATTTCAGTTTTCCGCTACAGTACCACACGCCGGCGCGTCCAGCTGTTTCCGGCGATCGAAAATTGCTTTCTCGCTTCGATTCCAGGTCAGCAGTCTATTCAGGTGGTTGTTTCTCCGATCCGGCGAAGCTTTGGTAGGGGCATTCTCAGTTTTGTCAATTTGGCATTTCAGGTTACCTTTTTTGATTCTGTTTGCGTCGAAAGGATATATATATATATATATTTATATATATATAAATTTTTTTTTTTTTTTTTGGTGTCTGTTTCTGCATTGCTGGTAGGGTGTTTAGTTTCTATTAATGGATCTTGAACCTACAGATTCTAAAACTACCATTACTGAATTGATCCCAGCAAGGAATAAAATCACAGAATGTAAATTGAAAGAAACTAATTATTTAGATTGGAGTAGGACAATTCGAATTTATTTGCGGAGTGCTGAAAAATATGATTATCTAATTGATGATCCACCAACCGGTGAAACTAGGCAACGTTGGCTCAGGGAAGATGCTAAGTTATTTCTACTGATTCGCAATTCTATTGACAGTGAAGTGGTTGGGTTAATCAATCATTGTGAGTTTGTGAGTTTGGTTAAAGAATTAATGAAATATCTTGAATTCTTGTACTTTTCCGGAAAAGGTAATCCTGTCTCGTATGTATCAGGTCTACAAAGGAATTTTTTATCGGGTTGACCACAAGATAAGCCCGCTTAACAGCAAGCCCCTTACAGCTTATTTCATGGAATTTAAGAAGATTTACGAGGAACTTAATGTTTTATTGCCTTTTAGTCCTGATGTTAAGGTTCAACAGATGCAGCGAGAACAAATGGTTGTGATGAGCTTTCTTGCAGGTCTTGCTCCAGTTTTTGAACCTGCCAAATCACAAGTTCTTTCAGGCAGTGATGTTGCCTCTCTTCAGGAGACTTTCGCTAGATTGCTACGTACTGAAGGTTCTCATACGCCTTCTCCTTCTAATGATAGTACTCTTGTGAGTCGTAATCAGGTAGCTAGGCAGCCAGAAAACAGAGGAAGAGAAGGAAATAACCGTGATAATGGAACAATTACTTGGGAGACAAGCATTCTTATCTGTCATTATTGCCATGAACCTAGTCACACTAAACGGTATTACAAGAAACTGATAAATAAACTACCAAGGGTAAATATGGCCACCCAAAATTGTGTAGTTACTTCTTCTGACAACAATGTAACAATTTTTGCTGCGGAGTATGCTGAGCTCTCTAGATACTGTTCTTCTAAGTCTACTGATTCCTCAATTGCTGCTGCTGCCAATTCAAGTACTCCTCCTTTATGTCTTATGTCTACCTCATCAGAGTGGGTCATTGATTTCCTCCTTTATGTCTTATGTCTACCTCATCAGAGTGGGTCATTGATTCTGGTTGCACCAATCACATGACAAATAACCCAAGTCTCTTATACTCATTAAAAGGACCTGAACAATTTAATCGTCATGTTACTCTAGTTGATGGGTCCACATATTCTGTCAAGTGTATTGGCACCGCCAATCCCATCCCATCTCTTCCATTGTCTTCTGTTTTTTGTTTGCCTCGTTTTTCGCTTAACCTACTATCTGTTAGCAAAATTACTCGTATACTGAATTGTTGTGTTAAATTTTATCCTACATATTGTGTGTTTCAGGTTCTTTTGACGAAGCAGATTATTGGTAGAGGATGTGAGTCTAGTGGCCTTTATCTTCTGGATGAACACGTTTCGTTATCTCTGGATTGTGTTGGTGCTCTATCTCCTCTTGAGGTTCATTCGTTTCGGTCATCCTTCATTATCTACTTTAAAGAAGTTGTGTCCGCAATTTCAGTCTCTGTCAGTTTTAGAACACGAATCTTGTCAATTTGCAAAACATCATCGTTTACCTTTAGTTCCTCAAGTCAATAAACGAGTTACATCCCCTTTTGAGTTAGTTCATTCTGATGTTTAGGGTCCATGTTCTATTATTTCTAAAACTGGCTTTCGGTATTTTGTAACTTTTGTGGATTTTGTTAATCTTTTGTGGATGAATTATTCTCGTGTTACTTGGTTATTTTTAATGAAAACTCGTTCCTGAGATTTCTCCTATTTTCTGTTCTTTTTTGTGCTGAAATTAAAATCAATTTTAAATATATCCCTGTTCGCATATTGCACAGTGGGATAATGTCTAAAGAATATACTATTTAGTTCCTTTCCAATCTTATATGTACAGAATGGTGTTCTCTAATCAAAAACATCTTGTGTTGATACTCACCTCAAAAATGGGGTTGGCAGAAAGAATAATCGACATTTTTCTGGAGGTTTGCTAGGGCACTTGCTATTCCAAATGAAGGTCCCTAAAACATTTTCGGGCTGATGCTGTCTCTAACTGCATGTTTTTTTGATTAATCGCATGCCTTTCTTCTGTGCTTAATGGTGGGCAATTCCTTAATAATGTTTTGTTTTCCTTCTAAGCTTCTATTCCTTCTAAGCTTCTATTCCCCATTGAACCTCGTATTTTTTGTTGTACTTGTTTTGTTCGTGATGTTCGTCCACAGGTTTCCAAATTAGATCCAAAGTCTCTTTGTTGTGTTTTCCTTAGGTATTCTTGGCATCAAAAAGGGTATCGTTGTTTCTCTTCCGATCCTGACCGTTATCTTATTTCTGCAGATGTCACATTTTCTGAGAATACTCCATTTTTTCGTCCTATATATAAGAGTGAAGGGGAGGATGATGAGCTTTTAGTCTATGCTATCTAGCAATTTCATAACTCTCCTGCTCCTATTCCTGAACTTGCACCTGCTCCTGCTCCAGCATCTACTGCTCCTATTCCCGCTCCTACACCAACACCTACTCTCCCTCATTTTGAACAGGTTTATTCCAGGAGATTAGGAACTCTTGACTCATTTCCTCCACTTGCCGCTTCAACAGAAGATCCGGTTCACCCCACTCAACTTGAGCCTATGCCATCCACTCCCCAGTCAGACCTTGACCTTCCCATTGCTCTTCGAAAAGGTAAACGCAAGTGTACCTGTCCTATTTCTTCTTTTATCAAGTATGATCATCTTTCTTCTTCACCTCGTTTTATAAGTAACCTAGACTCTGTCTCTACCCCTAAAACTGTTGTCCAAGCTTTGTCCCATCCTGGTTGGTGTGCAGCAATGAAAGAGGCCATCCTGGTTGGTGTGCAGCAATGAAAGAGGAGATGGCTGCCTTACATGCTAATGGTACTTGGGATCTTGTGCCTCTCCCGGCAGGTAAGAAAGATATTGGTTGTAAGTGGGTTGTCACCGTTAAAGTGAATCTTGATGGGCCTGTTGCTCATCTCAAGGCTCACCTAGTTGTTAAGGGCTATTCTCAGATTTATGGCCTTAATTATTCTGATGCTTTTTCTCTTGTCGCCAAATTGTCTTTTGTTCGTTTATTTATTTCTTTAGCAACTACTTTTGACTAGCCTTTACATTAGCTGGACGTTAAGAATGTCTTTCTTCATGGGGATCTTCAAGAGGAAGTTTACACGGAGCAACCACCAGGCTTTGTTGCTCAAGGGGAGTTGGATAAAGTGTGTAAACTTCGAAAATCTCTTTATGGTCTAAAACAGAGTCCTCGAGCTTGGTTTGGTAGATTTTGCAATGTGCTACATCAATTTGGCATGCAGAAGAGTACTTCTGATCATTCTGTATTTTTCAGAAGTGCTAAGACTGGTTTGATTCTACTTGTGGTTTATGTTGTTTTTTCACAAGTGGCTAAAGACTGGTTTGATTCATAACTTGTGGTTTATGTTGATGACATTGTTATTATAATAACAGGGGTATGTGATTCAGCCGGCATTACATCACTCAGTCATTTTCTCCCAGACTCCAGTTGCAGACAAAGACTTAAGGTTTGTTTTAGTATTTTATGGGTTTTGAAAAAAGTCTAGGGTAGAGAGGCATCTTCCTATCTCAAAGGAAAGTATGTCCTTGACTTACTGAAGGAAACTGGAAAGTTGGGTGGGCCAAGCCATGCAACTGGAAAGTTGGGTGCCAAGCCATGCAGTGCTCCAATGACTCCTAATTTGCAACTTTCAATTGGTGGTGAGCTATTTGATGATCCTGAGATGTATAGGAGGTTAGTGGGCAAACTAAATTATCTTATAATAAAACGTCCAGATATTGCTTACTCTGTGAGTATCTTAAGTCAGTTTATGTATTCTCCTACTGTTATCCATTGGGAAGCTTTATGACAAATTTTGTGCTACTTGAAAGGTAGTCCAGGTCGTGGCCTTCTTGACAGTAATCATGGGCATTTGGACATTGAGTGTTTGGGCAGGTTCGAAGGTTGATAAAAGATCAACTTCAGGATATTGTATTTTTGTGGGTGGAAACTTGATATCGTGGAGAAGCAAGAAATAAAATGTAGTCTCACGATCGAGTGCTGAATCAGAATATCGAGCTATGGCACAATCTCCTTGTGAATTAATTTGGATTCGTCAGTTGTTTTTGGATTCGTCAGTTGTTAGGGAAAATTGGCCTTTTCAAGTCATCCTTGCTTTGCAAAGTTTAATGGTGTGACAATCAAGCTTGCTCTTATCACATAATTGCAATCAAATCCAGTATTCCATGGAACGAACAAAACATATCGAAGATTGAATTGTCATTTTTCATTCGTGAAAAGAAATAAGGGCAGGGTGTTATCTCTACAATTAACATTAAAACAAGTGAAGCAGTTTAGGAGATATATTTACAAAAAGGCTCTAAATGGACCTAGGTTAACTAATCTTTGTAACAAAGTTTTGGTCATGAATTAACATCTATTGCTCCAACTTCTCAGGTTAACTATCTTTGTAACAAGTTGGTCATGATTAACATCTATGCTCCAACTTGAGGGGGAGTGTTAAGGATTAGTTGTAAATAGAACTCTGTTAGGAGTTGGATTCCTAATAGGTGTATCGTATCTTGTTGTGTGTATATATATATATATGTGTGTCCCTATTGATGAATAAAAATAAGAAAATATTTTCCCACATTAAATTTACAGATACCTTATAAAACAATATAAACTAAAAAAGAGTAGCTTGATCAATATAAGATGATGAAGGTGAAACTCTGAAGCAGAAGGATGGCACACTTGATCCTCTATGCAGCATAAAAAATTGTCCTAGCCACATAAGAACTAAAGAACAGCAGTTGGCTTGATCCTATATGATACAAATCATGGTAACTGGCACAGACTTCAATATGATGGTGGTGGTGCTAAATCCCATTTGACAAATGAAAGAATGGCCTCGATTAAATTTAAAGAGAAAAACAGTGAATTTAATGCTACACAAGGTTCAGAAAAGGAGAGGATATGATATTTTGATCATAAAAAGCATGAGAATAAACATAGTTCCATAATCCATATGAAACATCAAAAATAGAGGATGCTTTATTTATTTCCCTGAACAAGAAAGAGTAAAGCGCAGAAAAGGAACATAATCTATCCCCAACTAAACCCAAATGTAAAAAATACATGTGAAACAGAGACTTGATCCCCCGGATAATATGTGTACCTATATCATACTTTCACTAGAAATAATTGGTATATGCTAACATTTAAAAGCAAAAAAGTAGAGTACTTTGCAGAAGGGTATGTGAATTTCTCATTGGTAAAAAAATCTCAAAAAAGTAATCATTGAAAAGGCAATCAAGAATTCTGACGCAGCATTCAAGACTTTGAGTTTGCACAAATTATTTCTTAGTTCATGGATTTCCATCAATCTCAAATAAGATTATTAAGCACTTCTTATGTAATGATAAAAAATCTGCAGTTATTGCGTAGGCCAAATCTCGAATAGTGTGCTTCAACACCATTCATTAAAATTTAACATTTTATCTCTTTTATATTATGTATCTAATTAATGTTGACTTATGTCACCGTTACGGAATGGCTTTTCTTAGGGTTCTGTATTTCTTCTGTTCTTTAATGCAATCTTCAATTCAGTTCAGTAAAAAAAAAAACAACATTTCATCATAGAATCCAGGAAGAGGTAAAAGAATATTACTAGCTTATTATAAAGGAAAATAACAATATCTGAATAAATTACTACTAGAAAACTAAATGGTTGAGAAAGCTTGAATCCCCTTACATCAGGTTTCATTTGCAGGGGAGCCAGTGTTCCAACAAGATCCTTTGTGCTAGGCCGTTCTCTAGGTTCATATTGCAAACATTGAGAGGCAAGATCAACAACCACAGTTGCTTCTTCTGTGGAAAACTTTCCCTCCAAATGTGAGTCCATTAACAGATTGATATTTTTTCCCCTAATCATATCAAGAGCCTGTATACGTGCAAAGTTGTCAATTGAGATGCAAAACTGAAGAAATATCAAATATTGCTTGAACTCTAATGTCCAATGTACAAAAACTGCAAAAATAAGATCTTGGTTTCAGATGATCCTTTTGACAGCCTATGGAGGATGATCATCAACATGATGATGCAAAATAAGACCGAATGTCAAAGTTAATATATTTATCATTTGTCATTTATGCTGGAAGCATTTCATGAATATCATTAAAGATTATCGATGTAGATTCAACTAAGACTCACTTGCAATGTTAATGACCCATCTAACCTTGCTGTTTCACTTATCTTCACAGCCGTCCCATGAAATTACAAACATCCATTACAATCAAATCCAAAGTGAAGAACCATTATTATATTCCAGATACTCTTGATTGCATTAAAACTTCAAGCAAAATATTCAGTTTAAGCAAGCAAGATGGAAAGTATGCAGAACAAAGAACATTTACTTGTGAGACATTTCACTAAAAGGTTTTTATTTACTGTGTTATATTATTTCATAATCAGATTGCTTAAATAAATTATGGCCAATATAGATGTGATGAGCATGGCAGGTTGTTATCCTATATATTTGCATGAAACAAAGTACATGTTCAACATTGGCCATTTCTGGAAAACTCAGTTGGTTAAGAAAGAAGCCAAACTATTAGATTGCAAGCAGGTCAGAGGTCAAATAGAAAAAGGATCTACTATGGTTGCTCATTCATCAACGTACAGGAGCCAAACTTGAACCTTTTTGAGACTCATTTACTATAGGGGACAATCCTCAGCTAAGTTAAACTTGCCTCATGAACTACTCATATCTAGACAAATGAGTATGATCATTTATAGACCGAATAAACATTTGATTTCAGCTTCATATATTCATCTATTACATACATGACACAAGATTCAGCTGAGCTCAACTTAGCTGATGAAGAAGCCAAGTTTGAGTCTGATTAAAAAATAATAAAGGAGTCAATTACAACGATTGTCCTACTTTGTCAATCATAAATTTTGGTCTAAGATCATGGTTTCTTACTTCTACAACTTGCATGAAAGTACTATAAATATATGCCACTTACATGACTTGGAGGGATATGCTTTCCACTTAGCAAATCCAGAAGAACAGTACCAAAACTATACATAACACTTTCAGGGGTGACTCTTCCTACAAAAAATAAATAAATTTATGGCAACAGCAAATTTCGCGTCAAAACAAACAAGAAAATAATTAGAAACTTGGAAAAAGAAATGAGCATCCTTCAACATTAATATTCCATCAAAACTGCAAGTCATGCATTTTGATACTGTTAAATGCAATTTACTGTATACAAAATAAGAAAGACAGAAAAGACTCATTTCACATAAATGACACCATGCCACAATAAATCACATAAAATAATAAATAGGTTGTTGTAAATATTAATTTTTCCATTCACTTCGGAAATAAGCTTGTAATGTTAAGTATTTGTCAAAGCAGTTCAGCAAGTAAATCATGAACTAGAATTTGCAGAGTCATCATAATACCAAAGTGTCATAATATAGAGTTTGTCTATTTTCTGGGTGGATAAGAGTTTTCAAACTAATTAAAATTTTGAATGGCTTGATTGTCATTTTACACTGCAATCAGGCACATAAGTTATGCCAAACCTCAGCTCACAGTAATACCACAACACCAAGTAGGGATCTGAATGAGCCAACTAACATCAATTTTTTCTTTGTTCAAGCTTGGTAGTCCTCAACCTACTAGAAACTCAGCAAAGGTTTAAATGAGCTACAGCTATCTGGTCTGACCTTCAGAATGGTTATAGCTTGGTAGAGTTTAAATTGAGCTCAAAGTCCAAAAAAATTTTGAACAAACTGAATGCACGTTTCTATTTAAATTGAGTTCCAAGTGAAGGCATAGAGGTCTTGTTTCTATTTCCTGCTTTAAGAGAAGGACTTAATCTTGTATAAAGGAGACATCCCCATCACGAGTTTGTATAGAACAATGTAGAACCAAGTCCAAATCTGATTCTCTTCCTATTTTCCCTCTATTTTGTTTATCAGGACAGGGTCCTAAGTTTTATAGCTAAAAGTTTTCAATTCTGTAATTCCTTTTCAAATCTATGACCTACCATGGCAATGAATCGATGATTTGAAGTACACATTAATATATAATCAATTTAATTTTATCAAAATTATGACCAAACAGTCTAAACCGGTTAATGAAAAACAATTATCAAACTCTGGAAGACTAAATATACATAAATGAGCTCAAAACTAACATGTCCAAAATCATATTCAAGCAAAGGTCACTTATATTCATGTTCAGTTTGTTTATCAAATAAATAAACTTCAACTTTGTTTTCAAATGATTTTTTTTATCTCAATTAATCAAAATGAACAAGCTTTTACCCAAACTATTCCCAAGCAGTTTGCTAAGCATAGTGGTCTTTCTTACAGACCTAGTATCTACCACAACTTCACATAATTGTTTTCTTTCTACATATGCAGTTTTAGAGGCATCAGTTGCTTAGGTATTCCAGATTGTACAACAGAAAATTCCAATGTTAACGATTTGTATATTTTTCTACTTCTTTCAATAATATTCTGTCTATCATCTTTTTCTCTTTTCCATTTTGAGAAGAGGGCAATTTCCTTCCAGGTAGGATCCTAATCTAAGGAACAATTATCAAGAGTAAGTCAATGTTAAGGTTCCCAAAAAGAAAAAGATCTATTTACAATCCACAAAGGCACAGATTCCAGCATAATATTTATATTGAAATGAATGAATCATCCACAATGACAGCATCTTTATTCTTGTTTCCTTATGCTCTCTCTCTCTCCTTCCTTTTTTTTTTTTTTTCCTTCTTCTTCTTTGGTACACAATTTTCCATATATCCAACTTGATTGAAAACCTTAAAAGAAAAACATAAGGGTTGTCTATAACTGACAACTATCACAAGCAATAGTGTACAGCAATTAAATAGATGTATCTGATTCAGTCTATCAATTTTACATAATTTTCCAAGGTAACGGATGTATATAACTTCAAAAAAGAAAAGGTAGATTATAAATGAGATACATATAAAAAAATGGCAGTTGTTACCATTTCTTAGATACTCAGGAGGAGTGTAGGCAAGGTTTGTACTATAACTTTTCCCATCCCTGCTATTCTTCATCAAGCCAAAACATGATAGGCGTGGATCTCCATCCTATAGTATCCATTAATTAAAGTTGATAACCAAACCAGACATACAATAAATGCTCATGAAATAATATGAAGAATCACCATAGTTATAGATGTGTGTATTAAATTAAGGACAAGGAATACCTCGTCAAACAGAACCCTATATGCATTTAAATCATGGTATAATGGACGACCCTGAGAACTGCAATAATCTAATGCTTCAGCAATGTAGAAAGCTACTCTTAAACGCATTGCCCATTCAATTGTTTGATTTTCCCCTGTTAAGAATGAACCAAGGATCAAATTCAGACTACATAGATTCAATTTGAGAGAGTATATAGTAGAACAAGAAAGTTCAAATACATTTAAGGATCTCAAGAGTAACATTTCAGAAAAAAATATACATGTATACACTCTGAATTGCAAACTCTTTGCTAGATTGAAATCCATTCTGGATTTAATCTATACCTTCTTAGCAAAAGACCTTCTCAGAAATATATAAGTTCAACAAGCTAAGAGTTACCAAGATTTTCCATGTAAAAAAACATTAAAGTTTGTAGAACAATTAAGAATACAGGAACAGAAATCAGGCCATAAAATTAATCATAAAGCAAATAAAATCACTGCATTCATGACCAAATATATAGAGGCCAAGCAACAATAAAGGCTAAAATAATAAAATCAATAATTGAAATAAATTATTCTAATCAAATAAAAGAAAAACTAAAAAAAAAGCACAAACATACACACATACAGTGAAATAAATGCTTAGCTAAAGTATCATTGGGCATGTACTCAGCAACAAGCAGCCTTTCATCCCCATCACAGCAGTACCCAATCAAATTAGCAAGCCTTTTATGCCTCAGCTTTCCTACACCCCATGCCTCCTCCTATAAACCAAAAGGAGAAACAATTAAAAAATAAAAATAAAACCCAAAAAAAGAAAAACAATAAAAACCCAATGGTTAAATTATACCGCAAACTGCTTAGGATCAGGCCAAGCCATCTTAGTAAACTTTTTGACAGCGATCCAACGGCGGTTTTGAAGACGACCCTTATAGACAAGATTAGGTGCCTTTTCGCCGCTTTCAGAGACGATATTATCAGAACTGAAGTTATTGGTGGCTGCTTTAAGGTCAGAAAAGGAAAATTCGGAGAAAGAAGGGATTCCAGTAGAAGGGTCAAGAAGAGAAGAAGGTGATGGATGGCTTTGATTAGGTTGGGTTTGTTTGGTTATGGTATGGTCTTTCTCAGGATGAGTTTCAGCTAGAAATGAAGATCCACAGCAACCCATGATTCAAAGTTCCCTTTGTTTGGGTAAGAAAGATGATTGAGAAGGTTTAATTAAGCTTGAAGAAGCATGAGAGAGAGAAGCTTCTGAAAGGGAAGACGGTAATGGTGGAAATGGGTTTATGTTATGGCTTTGTGTTTATGTTCTCTTTGTTTTTCTTTTCTTTTCTTTCTTCTGTTGTAAGTTGGCTGCTGTAATAAAGCTTTCATAATTTTCAACAGCAATGGACTCCAAGTTCACTTTGTATTTAACTGCTAGTCTTTTATATATATATTAATTAATTAAAAATTTTCCTTTTTTGATAATTAAAAATTTACATATTTTCCTCATTTTATTATTGAAATTTGATTTTAGAACCAGCATTAAAAAAAATAATCCTTAAATTAATCCCTAAAATGCATAAACCAAGCATTGAAGCATATAAGATAGATGTTAGATTCATTTGTATAGAGAAATTTTAATTTTTATAAATATATATTGGTTGACCCAAAATAATTTTATTTTCCAAACAAAAAATCATATGTTGATGTCCATGCTTTATGGGACTGGCCAGAAGTACATGGAGCAAATTGGGAGGATAAAACTTCCATTCCGAGATTTTTTTAACATTAATTGAAATAAATTATCAAAAATTAAAAAAAAATTGCTGTGGTTTTATTTTTAGCAATCAAAAGAAAATTTAAAAATATTATATCTTAAGAAAAAATAAGTTTTAATATTTGGGTTTCTCAAACTTTCAAGTCTGGTTTTTTGTATATTGAAATTTTTTTTCTCTTTTTTTTAATCTGATTTTATTGTTTTTGTGTTTTTTGTTATTTCAAATCTCTCTCTTTCTCTATTATAATAAACATAGACGTTTTTCTTCATTCATCATTTTTACTAAACTCATCTTTTCTCTCACGATAAGTTTCTCACTCTTGTTTTTTTTTTTTATTTTAGATTATCATTTTTGTCTTCCTAACCTATGTCTCTTCTTCTATGACGGGTTAAGCAATTGTTGAGTGAAGAGGAAAATGAGTTCTGATAATTCTAGGGTTGCAAATGAGACAAGCCGCTCATAACCTCCTTGAGACTCAGCTAAATAAAAGTTTGCTCAAACTAGTTCGATAAGCTTATAGAGTCGAGCTATTGAGCTTGTTTAATAAATGAGTCAAGCTTGAGCTTGGGTCATTGCTCGCGAGCAGCTTTATCGAACTGAGCTCTCAAGTTACCTGATGAGCTAACCTTATCGAGCCGAGTCAAGCTCATGAGCTAGCTCAAACCAAAATCAATTAAACATTAAGTTTAAATGACACCGTTTTGCCTTAATAGATTTCAAGCTTGAGCTCGGCTCATTTATGTTATTAAGTCAAGCCCGAGTCTAGCTCGAGCTAGCTATTTTTAAATCAGCCAAGCTCAAAATGAGCTCAAGCTCAAGTATATCCTTATTGAATCGAGCTCAAGCTCACTAAAGTTCGACTTGGCTCAACTCATTTACAGCCCAAGATAATTCTAGTCGCCCAACTCATGCTGAAGCTGAGGTCATTAAGTTTGTTAAGGAGAATGTTCCTTCAGATGCAAGGAAGGAGAATTTCTGCTTAATTAGGAAGTTATGACCAACAAAAGTTTTAATAAATTTGCCTCATAGAAACTATAACCCAAGTTTGCAAGGCTAAAAATAGAGTGGTCGCTGGGAGTGGGAAGGAAGTATTCTTATTCAATTTTTCCACTAGAAGGACATGCAAAATGTGTTAGATAATGCATCTTGGCATTTTGAGAAAAATATTTTGAACCTAAAGGAAGTGCAAGGCGATGAGCAACCTTCCAATCTAGAATTTTTTGTTGCTCCCTTTGCATTAGAGTTACAATTTGTTATGAGACCTTAACCCATGCGTCAAGTTCAATCCGTCAAAAATTGAATCGAAATGCTCATTTAAGTAAGGTTCACAGAAGAGTTTTGTAGAGTCGCCACTTAAAATTTTATTATGAGGTAAACTTAAGAAAAATCTTATTTGACTCTTTTTAAGAAAAGTGCACTAATCGACAAAACCAAGGAGGATTTTGGGATTAGATTTTCAGTTTAAATGTTCAACTAATTAGCCTTAATTTAATGTTCAATCTAGAAAAAATTTTGAGATGAAGGAATATGATTTATATGAAAGTGGTAAAATGAAGTATGAAATAAAGCAGTAAAGTAAATAAAGTGATAAAAGAAAGCGTAAAGGTAAAATAAATTGCAAGAAATAAGGGAGTATTGTCTCTAGCCTCTTGGTAGAGATTCTAGGGCAATCAAATATCTCCCAATTCTAAGAATAAAGAAAAAGAGGGAAAAAAAAAAAAGAGATTTTGAGGGGATTTGGTCCGCAACTTGGTTTTAGATACTCGAGTCTGCCTACTTACCCCTTGGAATAAGAATCAGAACCAAGCTATTCTATTGTTGTAAAACGGTGGTTGGTTGATTTTGATTGGAAAAGGTTCATTGAATAGCTTAATTTATCATGTTTCTTAGGTGTTGGATTGCCATTTTATAAAAAGCATCTTAGTGTTGGATCGTCGGATTTGGAAAAAAGCAAGCTCTTTGGTGCTGTTTTTAGAAGCAGAGGCAATTGTATTTATGGAGGGGAGGTCATTAGAGTCTTACCTAGACTTGTGGCGAGATCGACTAAGCTGACTGGATGGCTGACCAGAGGGTGAGCCGAAAGGCTAGTTGGCTCGAACTCGAACTCTCCTTTTTTTGCAGAGGATTGGGGACGTTAAGATTTTCCTATCGTAGAGCTTTAGCTTGACTTTGATTTCAAGAGAGGAAACCTAAGCCAAGTGAGGTCTAGGGTACTAAGGAGGACCTAGACCCGTAAAGGGGTTTTAGTGACGACTTGGTGGGGCAAGGAGGCTCCAAGCCAAAGGGAGGAAAACCTAAAGCTAGGCTAAAAAATGAGATTAGGGGGGAACATTGAGCTTGAGGAATATCGCTCCACTTACGCTCAATAAGAGTGGAGGAGATGAGAAGAGAGCTAAAAAGTCGAAGAGATGTTTCAACTAAGGCCTATAGAATGTACTTTATAATGAGCAGTTAATTTAGAGTTTTTTGTGTGTTTTGGACTGAATGTTTGCTTGAATTTATAGGAATCCAGACCTGCGGGTGTGTGCATTTTTTCAATGTGGGATCACGAAAACGAGAAAATTTACAGGGCGATTGACCACCAATTGCTGGCGATTAACTGGGGCTGATTGCCAACAGTCGACCCGCTAACCTAGGGCAATCGAGGTTGGGCGGTCAGACCGATTTCTGTGCTCATCTAGTTTGATTCAACTGATTTCGACTGATTTGGCCAGTTCGAGGCCCATTTGACCTCCAATTTTAGCTCGTAAGATACTGTTGAAAAACTCTCAATGTTTAGTTTCTATTGATGTTAAGTTTGTGGGAAAACTCAGCCCAAGGAAAAATTTATTTTCAAATCAATACAGATAATTGTGTTTTTTACATTGATTTTGGTTTAACTGGTTTAGGTTCAGTTCGAAGGATTTTCAAAGCCAAATTTAATTTTCCAGGGTATGAAAATTAAGTGTTTACATATGGCACTACTTACATGACTATAAGTGTAATGAAATTGCTTAGTGCTAAATTAGGTCCTTCCTTAAATTTTTTTCATAATGATAAGGAAGTAGTGGGTCGTAAATATATTAGATTCATGGTGATCTTTGAAAATAACTTCTACGATGTACTATATTTAAATTTCTTGCTAATGTCATTTGGGTTCCATTCAAATACGAGAGTTTACAAACATTTTGTTACTTATATGGAAAGTGCGGGCATTCCTTCAAGCAACGTGACGAGGCTGATGGGTTGGAAGTTGTGGAGGAGGTATTGGGGCATGGTAAAGAAATCAAAGCCTCATTATTTCGCAGGAATAATAGTTTCAAGTTTGGTATCGAGGATAAAAGCTTGGTATCAATAACTATTCTTTAAACCAAAAATGGGTTTTGATATTGTACATCAAAATTTAGCTACTGGTCAGCATAAAGATGTTGAGAAAGAGGGAGGTAACAACATTGTCGGATGAAGGGGAACGGAGAAAGCTTCTATGGCGAATCAATCTCAAACAGATGACATTCTGAAGCAACTTTAATAAATGAATTTTCAAGTCAGTGCAAGAGCACCTGAATTTTCACCTTCAATGCTGATGCTGATACTTATGTCCCTTCTACCATCTATATCCCAAACAAAGAACCCTTCAATGGTAAATATACTTCCCCGATTTCACCTAATTTCCCCTTGCCAAACCAAAGTGCTGAAACCTCAATTATAGAACCACAACCCCAAAATCCTTTAAACACAAAACCAACGCCTGATAAAAATACTCTGCAGCTACCTTCTCCAAACATAAAGCTTATTAATGTACAACTTGTCACCTACACTTGCCTATTTATCCCTCACCTGATTAATCCACAGAACCAAAACTGAAATTTACTTCTTTTGTCAAACCTATTTAAACAATAAAGATGAAAACCTAATAGCCCACCCACTTACTTCAAAGTCACAAATAGATAGCCCTTATCAACCATACCAGCCCCTAGGCAACCAAATTAGTTACCCAATTTAAACCTAATGAGAATTTCCTGAAAAAGGCTAGCCCGTAAGAGCAGTGGAGTCACAATTCTTTAGAAAAGTTGCAGTTCTTTAAGAAACAAAAGGATGATCATAAAAAGGTGACCTTGATGGAGATCGATCACATTTTGAAATAGAAGCAAGTGGATTTCAGACAGCAGATGGAATTTGATTTTTATAGTGGTAGAGACTATTCTACAGTCCTAATGATAGCCATGAGTCTTCTAGCCTTGATTGCCAAGGGCTTGAGAACCCTTATTCAATTCGAAATTTAAAATAACTCCTGAAGCTACAAGCTTCCACAATAGTATTTCTTTCAAAAATTGAACTCTTAGATAGGGAAATGTCTGAGGTGAGTGAGAAGCTTGGCGATCATAATTATACTATTGTTTGTTATGTTAGAATTGTTGGAAGAAAGGAAGGTTTGTGTTTAATGTGGAATAATCATATAATCAGACCAAATTTTATCCTCTTCTCCTAACCATGTTGATATTATTTTTAATGGTTACTAAAGATTTTCAGGGATCTATGGATGGCTAGAAGAAAGTAAAAAAATTGCTAACTTGGGAGCTTATTACTAAATTGTCATATGATTCAGATTGTGTCATGGTTATGTGGTGGAGATTTTAATGAGGTAATGTATT